CAACCAATCCAGACAGTGGATTAATTGTTTATCCACTGTCGTCTTTAACTGTTGCACTTCATTTTGTGATATGTCGTAAGGTCTCTTGATAGTTCACCTAATGCCAGAGATTCCTGTGTTGTGTGAGCGCTGGTTAGAGACCTGGCATTTGTGGAAGCAGCACCACCTTGTGGCAAAGAAAGTGGAGTCAACGTCAGATCTGAGTTTCCACACAAGTCCGTGTCCAACAATGAATAAGTTGTTGTTGGTGATCCAGAGACTACTACAGGTTCTTCAAATATTCCAGTGTCTAATCTAAAATCTTCCATATCAGATCCTGTTTTGTGGTCATTTAAAGGATTGCATACAATTTCCTCCAGGTGTGAAGCCATTGTCTGACCACAATCAGTTAAAGTGGTTTGTATTGTTTGTTTCATTTACTTGCAAAAGAAATAAAGGACTTTATTTCAGCAAACACAGTTTCTATAATCCTTTGAAACTTAAATTGGAGATTTTTCCTTATTGGGTTCTTAGTACACTGGGCACCATTTATTTATTTATGTAGCAGTTTAACTTAAGGGTCAAAACCAACAAAGGAATATTGTTCACACCACCGAAAAGGCCTATGTAACTCCACACACTGAAAAAAGTAACCACGAGTCACACCAAGTAAATGAATCAGAGAGCATAGAAAAATATCAAATGTTCAATGTTTTAACAAATTAAAGAAACTTTTTAAAAAATTACTCACACCCATTTAATTTAACAAAGGTTGTGATATTACAAAAGGACTCTACTTCAGGCTTTTCTGATCAATCCTTCAACACAGTGCAGTCAATAAAACTAAAATTTTCTACTTTGGGTTTTTCTGCTGATCCAACAAAAATGTCAAAACAAGAAAGTTTTATAAGGTACTGTCCACTCACTACAAAATCAAAAGAAAATCCACACAAGAACCCAGGTGAATGAAAAAAAAAGAAACGACAATGAGGAAACCAAAGAGCACACTCATGGGAAGAATGCCGCGCTAGAGGTTGTAAGTCAGAACTTCCACAGGTTACCGGCAGATGACAGGTGAAGGAACAAGGATAAGTTTTTGAGGTGCCTGGACAGGCCAAAGCACAGTGGATCCGGTCATCCAGCTACTCCATCATTGGGGTACAGTGCCATACTGAACTGGAAAAGTGTGGATATTGCAAAGTGCCAGGGCAGGACTTGTGAGAGCAGAAATGTGGAGGCATGTGCTGGCTGACAGTACTGGCAGGTCGTGGATGTGAGGTGAGTGAACAGAACAACAATTTTTCTCAGGGTTTAATACAATATATTTTGACGACCACCACACTCTTCCAACATGTGTTTCCCAGAAGAGCCAGAGGGAGGGACATCTGGGAATTCAAACAGTCCATATCCTCCACCTCTTCCCCAAATACATCCCTTAGCTGTTGGTGCTGCTGCTGCTCCCCAGCTTGTTCAGCAGATGGGTGGAAAAGTTGAGGCAGGATATATATTTGACTCAATGATTTGCCCCACTATCATTGAGAACCACCTGATAGTTTAGAGGACCATGAATGATGTAATAGGGGCTTTTCCATTTTGGTGTAAGCTTCACTGTAAATGATTTCTCAGCCTGTAGAAGAAAAAGTCTGGCTATGTGCCCAGCCTGTATCAAAGTCATCTCTCTGTGATGTTTGTCAACTTTTTTGATGCTTACGGACCAGAGAAAGGTTCTTGATGACAAAGACCTTAGACTGTTGAACTGGGAAATTCTTTAATAAGCCGGGAGGTCAGACACAGTGTCCCTAAGCTTTTGCACTACATTAAGTGGTCCCCACAGCTCAGTTGGGATGACTCCTGTGGACTCATGTACTACTGAGTTTTTGTTGGAGAGATGAGTGAAGCTGAAATTAGATCTATTGCAGCAAAAATCCAAGAAGAAGAGATCAACTAATACTGATGAAAATAAATACAAGGAAAAAAGGATGAGTGGCTGTATAATCAAGTCTTTGTTAGATTGTCAACAAAATGTTCCATAGTGCTTAAAGAACTTCTAAAAAAATCCAAAAAACTAAAGAACTGCTAAAATCAATCAGTTTATTAAAAAGAATAAATTGCAGATTGAGAAGCAGTATATTATTTTTGAAAAATAAGTCTAAAGCTTTAGCAATAATGGTAATACCGGAAGACATTACAACAGCAATATGAAGTAAGATATATGCAGTAGAGACGTTAAGAAGAAAATTGTTGGCACACAACACACAGTTTTTTTTTAGTTCAGGAGATGAATTGAAACCTTGATTTTCTGGTTTAATAATGGATGACAAACATGGAAATCTTATATAGCACAGTATGTGTCAGATTACATGTAATGAGAATTTCTGCTTAATTTACATATTGATTGCTATGCGGGAATGTTTGCAACAATGGCGGTTCTACACAGGGGCCTACAGGGGCCAGTGCCCCTGTCCAAATGTTGCTGGCCCTGTGCTGGCCCCTGTGCTGACTGAGTAATAAACTGATCACTGTATAACGATGACATGCACTAGCGCCAAAACTAAAACTAATGTGGCTCTATGCTCTATGCAATGAATTAGAGCGACGCACCCAAACCGTTGCTTGGCTTTGCTCTTGATGCTGTCTCCTGGACATATACGGGCTTGCATACTTAGTAGTATGGACTCACAGTTAATGTGCAATTGGAACTAATATGCAATCTAAACAATAGTGAATACATGTTCAATCATCCAGTGATTACTACTGTTGACAAGAGCAAATAAATGTGATATATAGTGGTGCACACCTTTGACCGTCTAACAATCGCTACCTTCAAATGCAGATTATAAATCGTACGAAGTTCATACAGAGAGTATATCATTTATATAT